GGCAATCTTGGTGGCAACGGAAAGGGTGGTTGGTCCTCTATATATTGATGTACATTTCATATCCATATTCTTTTTCCTTAGGAAATTATATGCAGAAGAAGGCATAAGTTCTTGTCAAACTACTTGCTAATTTTGTGTTATTCCATTGCCTCTTTCCATTACAGGTTCCTTCCTGCGAAATGATGGTTCTCTCTGTTGCAGCACAAAGGACCTGAAAATTGTCCAAATTAGGCAGTCCTTGTGGCTACAGAAAGTGCAAATGTTCCCCTAATAATTCATGTAAGTTTCATATCCATACTTGCTTTAGTCGGGAAATTATCGTAAGAAGAAGGCTTTGGTTGTTGTCCTGCTGCTTGCTAATTTTGTTCAATTCCCTTGTCCCTTCCTGCGAAATGATGGCTCTCTATGTTGCAGCATAAAAGGCCTGAAAATTTTCCAAATTAGGCAATCTTGGTGGCATCTGAAAGGGTGATTGGTCGTCTATACATTGATATAAGTTTCATATCCATATTTGTTTTACTTAGGAAATTATATGCAGAAGAAAGCTTACATTCGTTGAAATACTTGCTATTTTTGTGCTATTCAATTGCCTCTTTCCATTACAGATTCCTTCCTGAGCAATGATGGCTCTCTCTGTTGCAACATAAAAGGCCTAAAAATTGTCCAAATTAGGCAATCTTTGTGGCATCTGAAAGGGTGATTTGGCCTCTATATATTGATGTTAGTTTCATATCCATACTTCCTTCAATTGGGAAGTTATCGTAAGAAGAAGGCTTTGGTTGTTGTCATGCTGCTTGCTACTTTTGTGCAATTCCCGTGTCCCTTCCCGCGCAATGATGGCTCTCTATGTTGCAGCATAAAAGACCTGAAATTTGTCCAAATCAGACAATCTTGGTGGCATCTGAAAGGGCTAGTGTTCGTCTATATATTGATGTAAGTTTCACATCCATAGTTCTTTTACTTAGGAAATTATATGCAGAAGAAGGCATACGTTCTTGTCAAACTACTTGCTAATTTTGTGCTATTCCATAGCCTCTTTCCATTACAGGTTCCTTCCTGCCAAATGATGGCTCGCTCTGTTGCAGCACAAAGGACCTGAAAATTGTTCAAATCTGGCAGTTTTTGTGGCTACTGAAAAGGCAAATGTTCCCCTATTCGTTTATGTAAGTTTCATATCCATACTTCCTTTAGTTGGGAGATTATGGTAAGAAGAAGGCTTTGGTTGTTGTCCTGCTGCTTGCTAATTTTGTGCAATTCCCGTGTCCCTTCCCGCGCAATGATGGCTCTCTATGTTGCAGCATAAAAGACCTGAAACTTGTCCAAATCAGGCAATCTTAGTGGCATCTGTAAGGTCAATTTGTCCTCTATATATTGATATAAGTTTCATATCCACATTTCTTTTACTTAGGAAATTATATGCAGAAGAAGGCATAAGTTCTTGTTGAACTACTTGCTAATTTTGTGTTATTCAATTGCCTCTTTCCATTACAGGTTCCTTCCTGCGAAANCATATCCATACTTGCTTGAGTTGGGAAATCATCGTAAGAAGAAGGCTTTGGTTGTTGTCCTGCTGCTTGCTAATTTTGTGCAATTCCCGTGTCCCTTCCCGCGCAATGATGGCTCTCTCTGTTGCAACATAAAAGACCTAAGAATTGTCCAAATCTGGCAGTCTTTGTGGCTACTGACAGGGCAAATGTTCCCCTATTCATTGACGTAAGTTTCATATCCATACTTGGTTAGGGAAATAGCTGCTTAAGGAAGTTCAAGTTTGTGTCGAAATGCCTGATATTTTTGCGGAATTCTTTTTTCGTCTCTTCTGTACCGGTCCTTATCCTGCGCAGAGAATGCTTCATAAAATCGAGCATAAAAGGTCTGAGAATTCTCTAAATCTGCCTGTCTTGCTGTCCTCTGAAAGGCCACATGTTCCCCTTTCTGTTTGTATAGGTTTCATATCCATATTTGTAGTAGTTAGGGAAATATTTGCCAAAGGAACTTCCAGTTCCTGTCTGACTGTTTGATATTTCGCAGAATTCTGGCTTCGTCTGCGCTATAATGGTCCTTATCCTGCGCAGAGAATGCTTCATATAATCGAGCAGAAAAGGTCTGAGAATTATCTAAATCTTGCAATCTTGGTTTCATCTGAATAGCCACGTTTTTCTATCTATTCATATAAGTTTCACATCCATATTTGCAGTAGTTAGGGAAATAGCTGCCAAAGGAAGTGCGAGTTTGTGTCGAAATGCCTGATATTTTTGCGAAATTCTTTCTTCCTCTCTTCTGTACCGGTCCTTATCCTGCGCAGAGAATGTTTCATATATTCGAGCATAAAAGGTCTAAGAATTATCCAAGTTTTCCAATCTTGTTGTCATCTGTAAGGCCACATGTTCCCCTATCTGTTTGTATAAGTTACATACCCATATTTGCAGTAGTTAGGGAATATCTGCCAAAAGAAAAGGAAGGTTTGTGTCGAACTGCGTGATATTTTTTGCGGAATTCTAGCTTCGTCTACGCTATACTCGTCCTTATCCCACGCATAGAATGCTTCATATAATCGAGCGTAAAAGTTCTTAGAATTATCTAAATCTTGCAATCTTGGTGTCATCTGATAGGCCATATTTTTCTCTATCCATTCATATCAGTTTCATATCCATATTTGCAGTAGTTAGGGAAATAGGTACCAAAGGAAGTGCGAGTTATTTTCCAACTTCCTGATATTTTTGCAGAATTCTGGCTTCGTCTACGCTATACCAGTCCTTATACCACACAGAGAACGCTTCCTGCAATCGAGCATAGAAGATCTGAAAATTATCTAAATCTTCCAATCTTGCTGTCATCTGACAGGCCACATGTTCCCCCTATCTATTCACATAAGTTTCATATCCATGTTTGCAGTAGTTAGGGAAAGAGCTGCCAAAGGAAGTGCGAGTTTGTGTCGAAATGCCTGATATTTTTGCGGAATTCTTTTCTCGTCTCTTCTGTACCGGTCCTTATCCTGCGCAGAGAATGCTTCATATATTAGAGAACGCTTCCTGCAATCGAGCATAGAAGATCTGAAAATTATCTAAATCTTCCAATCTTGCACTCATCTGATAGGCCACATGTTCCCCCATCTATTCACAAAAGTTTCATATCCATATTTGCAGTAGTTAGGGAAATATCTGACAAAGGAAGTGCCAGTTCTTGTCTGACTGCTTGATATTTTTGCGGAATTCTGGCTTCGTCTGCGCGATACTGGTCCTTATCCCACGCAGAGAATGCTTCATATAATCGAGCATAAAAGATCTGAGAATGATCTACATCTTCCAAAT